CAGCACCCCAGATGCTCTACTCCCAGCTTCCCCGATTCAGCTGCTGGTCAGTTTCAGCAGCAGCTGAATGGGGGAAGCCTGTCCGGCTGCCCCAGCACTTCTGGGTTCCTGATGGTGCCAGACCTTCAGGAGTCCCGGAGCATTGGATGCCGGACTAATGGGAGTTTTACTGTACAACCAAAGCCTGATTCTGCTTTAAGTTATGATAAGAGGAAGATGCATCCCCAATTAGGCAGTCCTAGCTCTTACCATTTAGGAGTTCATGAACAAATGGCCTCATGGACAGATGGACGGACAGACAGACAGGCATGTTTCTAAAAATATACAGTAAGGAGATTAAGACTCTGAACTGATATAGCCAGTTAAGTACAGCTATGGTTTGCAGGACAAGGTTGTGTTTCTTCCTAAGCCTGAAGATGCATCCCCAATTAGGCAGTCCTAGCTCTTACCATTTAGGAGTTCATGAACAAATGGCCTCATGGACAGATGGACGGACAGACAGACAGGCATGTTTCTAAAAATATACAGTAAGGAGATTAAGACTCTGAACTGATATAGCCAGTTAAGTACAGCTATGGTTTGCAGGACAAGGTTGTGTTTCTTCCTAAGCCTGAAGGAACTGAAAATGGATGCTGAAGGAGATAGAATAAGACTGAAAGGAACCATGAATTCCTACCATTATTTTTATTCTCAAAGGTCATTTCAATCTCATTTGTGCGTCAAGTTCATGCATCATGTTTTTACATGGTTATTCCCCACATAAGAACAAAAGATGTATGTTTGTTCAACCTGCATTACATATGATGTGAACCAAAGTCTACAACATTGCAAAGATGTAAACAGAGCTGAATCTGGGACTGTACGGTATGTTTATTATCAGTCCCATAGCTTGCTATCACTCAAGCAAGAATAGCACTGTCTCTCTGATTTTGGTAAAGTGTATCTACCCCCACACTGTACTTCAGAAGTCCTCTTGTAGAGGATATATTCATCTAATACTGCACAAGAAAGTTGTTCTTAAGGATCACCCACACTTTTATTTGTGTTGCACTAGGCATTTAAAACAAAGCACATCTATAGAACTCCAAATGTATATTTATATCTAAAGAAGAAACAGAAGGTACTTTTTATACCACACACACACACACACACACACACAAAAAGTTTGAACATCCATGAAATAGAATTGGGTGGAGGGACAGGACTTTTCTCCAAACTAAGGAAGAACATCCATGAAATAGAATTGCGTGGAGGGACAGGACTTTTCTCCAAACTAAGGAATTACCTGATAAAGAAAGCACTATTTTAACTAGAGAAAGAACAAATGCAGATGTACAAGTTATTCAATTTTTTCTGCAAATTTAGGACAAATTTTGAAATCCCTTATTTAAAGTTATTCGATTTTTTCTACAAATTTAGGACAAATTTTGAAATCCCTTATTTAAGAACTGATCATTTCAAAGTCTGTCACTTAAAGATTTTATGTACATGGAACAAGGTACACATCATGCTTTGTATTCATTTGGATAGAACAGATGCATGGCAGAAGGCAGCAGAAATATGGTCTCCATGCAGAAGCTGTAACCTGTTCCAGGGAAAGCTTTCATTCCTTCCACAAAAAAGAGAAGGTCAAACCTTCAGTTCTGCTTCTGTTTCACATATATTTCTTTTACATATATTTGAAACATACATTGTTATGTATACTTCCAAGATCCCACCCTCAAATTTTTCCTTGGTACTGAAGGAACCACTATCATGCAGAACACTGGCTTGAAACTTTTCATAAAATTTTGATTTGGAAGACTTTAGTACAACTCTATTTTATATTATTCCTAGTAGTTGTATTAAGTGGGTCAGATACTAGAGTAGAGCCTTTAAATGGCAAATGATCTGCTCTTAAACCATTACATGTTACATTTACATGTAGATATCACAGAATGAAAATCATGGGATGAAACAAGAAAATTAAGGAAATTTTGTTTTGTTCAGTCTCACACAGCAATCTACGTAGACAGAACCTTTACCCACCCAATGCAAACTCAGCTAATAGAAAATGAAATATTTTCAACAACTTGAGCATAAAGAATTTGCAGAGCCATATCAGAAAAAAGCTTTACCAGATTTGAATATGCAGACAGTACATAACCTATACTTGATTTCTTGGGTACACAAGAAATAAAATAACATATTTAGTTCATCTATATGCAAGCCTACAAAACTGAAACACCTAAAGATGTAAGGTTACCTCATCTCTGAAAACCCAAATACGAATTACAAGAATTTTCACTGGCTTAGCATTTAGTGCTCAAATTTTCATTGATTAAAATGAGTTTATGAACCTGAACTCTACAAAATATTAAAGTATTTTTAATTAAATGGCTTTGTACTAAACCAGAAAAGATTATTACAGACAGAAATTGCTAACACACAACACTGCCAGTAGTCATGGAAACTTTACGGGTGGGCTTTTTTTTTTTTTTTAATATTAAGGGAAAAAAATACCTAATATTACCAGAACCTAGTGACATCATAAAGACAGCACTTTTAACCCTGTTACAATATGCAACAATACTATGGCTATATGTGCAACTGTTGCAGAATTCCAAGAGGAGAAACCTTTTCCTGTTATTCTACAGAAAATGGGGGTAAAAATGATTGATTGTTCCTGTACACTCCCTTTTCCAAAAATACCAACAAAATTGTCTTATGAAATTGAAAATTAAATAGCAATGTAATTGAACTGCACATTTTTTTATTTTTGAAGTGTTTGCTGTCAAAAATATAAATATTACTGATAATAATACACACGGTATTCCTCAAGGCCCTGGCTTTTAAAAACATGGAATACTTTCCAGAAGCATTACAATAAACTACAATCAACTATAGTATATGTTCAGATGGAGAGAATTCTAGGCAGTCTTGGGGGACAAATGGCATTACATGATTTCCCCTATAACCCAGGTTACTGTTTAATCTTCCCCTAGCTGACAGCAGGTTTACCATCACACATATCAAAACTAACAGTGCACCTCCATTTCTCCTGCTACTTCCCAGCTCTTAAACGGAAAACACTATATTTATTTATTTTTTGGATTACAACTAAAAATGTGAATGGAAAAAACGCAATACAAACACATATGATAAAGGTGAATAACCCCGCAAATAAATGCAATTAGACATTTAAACATGACAATTACTCATTGATGGAAAAAGCATTGACGTAAGAAAAAAAAAAAGAGTCAAGAGATTACACATAAAATCCACATGATCAAGCAATAGATCCAGATTATTTTCTCCCGTCCAATTCCCTTGGGAATGCTTTATGTCCGCAGGAGTGAAGCAACCAGGCAGGAATCAGCATCAAAGAACGGGAAGAAGAAGAAGACGCCACCTACCTGTCCCAAAGGCTTTGGCCACCAGCCACGCTAGATTACAGGCGATTTTGGCTCTGGTGAAATCATAATGGTCAAAAGGTTTGATGGCAGGAACAATGAAAGTCTTTCTCATTTCCTTGCTGTCTGCAGCATCCCCCATCTTCTTATGGCACCTCCTAGAATTGTGATTTACATGATTCTTCTTCCCAAGGCCCCGCTCACGTACAAAAGACCAACCCAAACGGACCAAACCCCGACGCGGTAGAGGACGGTGATGACGAACTCCGCGCCCGTACGGGGGTGATGCCGCCTCTGCACAGGAACGTAGCAGCCTCCTCTTCCCCCTGCCCGCG